TGGTGGACGAACCCTCATTCTTCTAAACTGCTTAGCTTTTAAAACACCCTTGCAGAGGCAACGCGAGCGGCACCGTCTACGTAACCGATTACAGGCCAGAATGCGACGCGTGGCCGAGGAGGCGCGCAGATGGACTGCCCTGGTGGAATCCAAGGTGGCCGCCGGCACCATCATCTGTGATCATCAGCCAGTTCATCCCACGCTGGCCACCCTGACCGGCAGACGATCGCGTTTCCTCATAAAGTCAAAAAATGTGAGTTTGTTAGATGTGCATAATTAGAAGACTTTTTCCGTAGACTACTGCGAAAAACTATTGCTGTGAGACGAAATCTGAGCCCTGGTCTTTCAAATTCGCGCTAGGTACTCTAGCCTTAATCAGTTACAACTAGGCTTGCCAACCCGACGAAATAATTGTTGTTTTCACCTTACCACCCCATCTAGGCTAAAACAGGCTCAAATTTTGGTTTCAGAAAAAAGGAAATATTAATGAATTTGCATGCGTGGTGGCGCTTTTGTGAGAACTTGGGCTCATCAGTTGAAGTAATTTCGATTATCTACTGTATTATTCGTCTTTAGGTGAAACCTTTTGTCCCTAGGTTCTTTCTTTCCGGTACTCTACTCAAATGTTCATTCACTTTACCTACTAAATCCCTGTCTGCTCGTCTGCTGTATATGAGTATCGTTTTGTATACTTCGTAAGAAAGGTGATGGTGACGGCGGTGCGTTGGAGTATAAGTAGTTTGGGGTTAGGGCATGGTGCTATTCCCTTCTCAACTGTCTGTAGTAAATCCCAATTTCGCGTGTATCAATATCGCCGTCGATCAGTTCATCTAATCCTGTCTTTTCTCGTTTAACAATAGAACTGCCTGGAGAGTCTATATAACTTCTCTATAGAAGCCCAATTAACGCAGAAGTCACCGTTACTAAGGTGTTGATCATTGATGGCAACGAAGAAACCACTGATATGTCCCCGACAATATCTCCTCTTACCACTCTTATAGGTTACTTTCGGCCGCCTATCGAGTTCCTTTTCCCCTGATATCGACCTCACCTGCGAGGGCGAGGCGTTACGCATTTCGCGTTGTCATGGTCAAATATACCTAGGCAACAAGGGCGATTTCTGGTTGAGGAACTTTTCCAAACATCCAGTTTTTGTCGACGGAAATCCCGTCTTGAAAGGTTGGTCTCACTGTCCCACTGCTTCTCTGTCTAGTACCTTTATTTGCTTTAAAAATTTGTTGTGCGAAGTTACTGAGTTGTTTCTACCTCCAACAGGGCGTTTTGTTGAGTAACTTTTTCGACTGTAAATTGCGTGTGTTCTTTGTACTAGCGTGTATGCTTCAGTCAATTTAACAGCTGCTACACTCAGCACGGAAAAAACTCGTAGCAACATTTTCCTACGACTTTTATACACTGGGTTAAAATTGGTTTGGCTAAGTACCAGGATGTGTGCTCTCAGTTCCCAAAATGTGTGGAACCTTTGGGCAGACTGGAAATAGGTGTAGAATTCTGACAGCGGTATGATCAGGACCTATTACCGCCCCACCACTGCGCGAGTTCTGGTCCCGAACAGTCTTTCTCAACCGTTGCGAATTCGGTCTGGCGCTCGATAAGGATGTATCTTGGCGCCCTTCTGTTCAACTACGCTACTGACTGGGTTCTCGGGAAGGCGCCACGCGAATATGATGGTGTTGAATTTGCACCCAGACGCCGGCTGACTGCTTTTGAGTACGCCAATTATATCACTTAACTAGCTTCAAGCTTTGGTGATCTGCAGTCTAGGATGTCATGGATGAGTGAGCTTGCTAGATCGGTTGCTTTATCCATAAACGCTGGGGAGATCAA